GTGAGGTAGATATGTGGGGGCATGTTAGAACGAGCCGTTTTAGGGGGGCGTGGCAGAGTCTTAACTTTGATAAAGAATATCTCTTTGGTTTTGAGACTTTAGTCTTTGCACCTTCAGGGATCTTATCTATGCACAATCAGCTTGTAACACTCCAAAGAGAAAGGAAAACTTGAAATCGCATCATATGACCCTTTTAATATATGCTGATTTAAAAAAAAGTTGAAGAATTGAAATGTCCAGATGCATTACGGTAATTGTATTTTGGGGGAAATCATGGAGGGAACTTGTCATTATGTCACAGTGCTAAAGGAGAAAAAGGCTTCACATTCATAATGCAAATTATAATTAAAATATAATTAGTGCAAATGCAAAATATTGGCCTGGATCTGGACATGTTTGTGATTGATTGACCCTGCAAGGTATTTCCTATGGAGTTCCACCATTATTATTATTGTGTCTTGGGTTGTATTGCTCTGGTTACATTAGTCCCACTGTCTCCTGGAGGTTTTGTTCATGTTAATATTAATGACGTTTTGTGAGATGATTGTGTTATTGTGCCTGTGGTGAAGGGTGAGTGTTGGAAGGGTCTTACTGCAAACTTTGCGGTTTTACTTCTGCTCTGTTTTCCCAAAGAAAGTCCTAAAATTTGTAAGTTTGAAAGTTAGCAGTTGAAACCATTTGTCAACCTCTTCCACACCGCAGAAAAGGAAAAGGTCCAAATTCAAGAGAAAAAAAATCCTTTCTCATTCTTTTTCTCTAATCTGTCTTTTTAGAGGAGAAATATGTCACTGTCCAGCCGTATACCAGTCAGGGAAAGGATGAGATCGGGTTCGAGAAAGGAGCAACCGTGGAGGTCATCCAGAAGAACCTGGAGGGATGGTGGTACATCAGGTAATCAATCTGGACCTCAAACTTTAAGGTGGTATGTTACGGAAATGTTTGCTGATGATGTTTCATCTCATCAGTTTTTTTTTCATTTCAGAATGATTTACATGTAGTGTGTGTGTGTGTGTGTGTGTGTGTATGTATACATGAATTATCAATTATCAGTGTGGATGTGACATCAGTTTTACATCAGGGGAGATATGTGTCCATAAAGAGTACTACGACATCTTACTTAAAACATTATGCTGTCCTCTAGTGGTCAGTATGAGAATGGTAAATGCATGTAGTTATACAATTGAATAGTATTTATTATTCATTTACTATACTGTTACTAATGTGTTGCAGGTATCAGGGTAAAGAGGGCTGGGCCCCAGCCTCATACCTGAAAAAACTGAAAGATGACCTTTCACCAAGGAAGAAGACTCTGACTGGCCCCGTGGAGATCATCGGAAACATAATGGAGATCAGTAACCTCCTCAACAAGAAGGCTGTGAGCGAGAAGGACATTCAAACTGACGGAGAGGCCACTAGCCCTGAGCGCCACATCTCCAAAAGTGAAATCAGTTTGCCTATCCCATATGCCCCAGAGGCTGGAGTGGCACCCACAGTGGCCACTGGTTTGGGAATGAACTCTGGATCTAGCACCGCCCTACAGGAAAACAAGAGCAGGGCAGAGCCGGGGTCACCTGCCATAGCCCGGGTGGCACCACACAGAGTTGAGATAGGTGAGTAAACAGTTGGGTTATGACATGTTTAACTAGATGTATACTGCAATCACATGTTCAGAATAGAATAGAATAGAATAATGTAACTCAAAGTATTTATTCCCTTTAATTCACTTGAAAAAATACACCTGAGTTGCTGTAGTAATTATAGTACAATTTTATTATATTGTTTTCTAACAAAAGAAAAAACTATATCTTTTATATTCAACTAAATATATTATCAATATTTTTCTATATCATTTTATAATTATATAGCCATATTTTATATAATAAGTATGTCTGTGTTCCTGTTATTTTTGCACATAGGATTTGATGCCATAGGTAACATTTCTTTGTGGTAAACAGATGTTTCCTAACATTTTGTCCGGGTGTTGTGTACCTTGATAGTGACACATTCACCGTCTCTGTTGCTTAACATTCAGCCTGTCAACTGCTGTTTGTTTGCTATTTGTTTGTTCTTGTGCTTACTTATTTGTCTAATGCCAAATGTACACTATACAACTGAAAAAAAAAATCAAAATGCAAAAAATTTGTTGGCGAAAGGAAAACTGTGAACTCTCCTAATTTCCAAGTCCTAAATTTGATTAAGCTACATTAATATTTGCTGTATTGAGCTGAGAGACAGTTAATAACATGTTTTGTATTCAACTGGCAGGATCTCCAAACCTCAGACAGAAACCTCCTCCTCGAAGAGATACAAATCTGGTAAATTAAGCGGACCAAAATCATTTATTATTATTTCAAATTCATAGAGAGCAGCGTTTACTTATTAGACAGTACTGTCTTTTTCTTCAATACTCAAGGCATTCCAGTTGCCCAAACCTCCAGAGGCCCCTTCTGTGGAAGCGGAGTACTACACCATAGCAGAGTTTCAATCCAGTATCTCAGATGGCATCAGCTTCCGTGGAGGACAAAAGGCTGATGTAAGGCAGATTTATTCCTACTATAATAAGTGATTATTTTATTTTTCAAAAACTAAATATGAACATCTTTTGACTAATGAAAATATAATTGTTGAAAATGCAAAAAATTTGTTGGCGAAAGGAAAACTGTGAACTCTCTTAATTTCCAAGTCCTAAATTTGATTAAGCTACATTAATATTTGCTGTATTGAGCTGAGAGACAGTTAATAACATGTTTTGTATTCAACTGGCAGGATCTCCAAACCTCAGACAGAAACCTCCTCCTCGAAGAGATACAAATCTGGTAAATTAAGCGGACCAAAATCATTTATTATCATTTCAAATTCATAGAGAGCAGCGTTTACTTATTAGACAGTACTGTCTTTTTCTTCGATACTCAAGGCATTCCAGTTGCCCAAACCTCCAGAGGCCCCTTCTGTGGAAGCGGAGTACTACACCATAGCAGAGTTTCAATCCAGTATCTCAGATGGCATCAGCTTCCGTGGAGGACAAAAGGCTGATGTAAGGCAGATTTATTCCTACTATAATAAGTGATTATTTTATTTTTCAAAAACTAAATATGAACATCTTTTGACTAATGAAAATATAAAAAATTATAAATATACAGTGGAGTCAAAAAGTCTCAGACTACATTAACTGTAGTACATTATAGTACATACTATAGCACATACTATATATACATGACTATAGTATTTATTTATTTAAACCTTAATAAAAACACATTTTCAGGATTGAAATTGATTTCTGAAGAGAAATATTTAGGATTATTTAAGTTTTTTTCAATTAATATTTTATTAAAAAATGCAAACAATTTTGTTACATTTAGTGTAAGATAAGCATTTGGGAGTCAAAAAGTCTCAGACTACATTAACTATAGTACATTATAGTACATACTATAGCACATACTATAGCACATACTATATATACATGACTATAGTATTTATTTATTTAAACCTTAATAAAAACACATTTTCAGGATTGAAATTGATTTCTGAAGAGAAATATTTAGGATTATTTAAGTTTTTTTAAATTAATATTTTATAAAAAAATGCAAACAATTTTGTTACATTTAGTGTAAGATAAGCATTTCCATTAGTGGTCTTAGATGTTTGAAACCCACTTTATAATAAAAATATGCCATTGTATTATGTAAATATGTAATATGTGGTCTTCAGGTCATAGAGAAGAATTCTAGTGGTTGGTGGTATGTCCAGATCGGGGATATGGAGGGCTGGGCACCCTGTTCCTTTATTGATAAACGCAAGAAGCCCAACCTGAGCCGGCGAACCAGCACACTTACCCGCCCTAAAGTTCCACCCCCTGCTCCACCAGTCAAGAAACCAGACTCAGAGGAATCACCTTCTCTAGCTGGCTCCACCTCCAAAGCTCCAGAATCCCCCACTCAGCGTGTCTATGAGGAGCCAGAATATGATGTTCCCACCATTGGTTTTGACTCCGATCTGGATAGCAATCCTCCAAAACAAAAAACAAATAATTCATTGAAACCAGAGCCCCGTAAGTTTGAAATTAAAAGCAATCCAGCAGCTGCCGAAAGGATTGCACAGGCTGGCAAAGCATCACCTTTACTAAAAGTGATGACCTCCCCCTTGAGGAAAAGAAACTCATTGGAGAATGTCAATAAGGAGGAGGTGATTTATGAAAATGAAGGCTTCAGGTTCTCCTCTGATGATTTTGCCAGTGGTTGCGATTCAGATACCCCAAGGAGTCTCACATTGGGTCGTAAACCCTTTGGGTCCTCCTCTGGAGGAGGGAAGCCCCTCCGGAAGGTATCGCCAGATCTAAGCCGGAGTCACTCTCTTGGCCGTGCTGAGAGACACAGCCCCAAATCATCATCAGACAAATCAGGACGCAATCCCAAAAGAGAGCCTGTCATGCGAAAAGATGTAGAGATTAGGGTTGGTCAAAGTCCCTTAGCCAGGCCCAAACCAGTGGTGCGACCCAAACCTCTGTTTACAAAGTCAGAGCCCCAAAGTCCCGAAAGAATGGACATCAGCAGCCTACGCCGCCAGCTTCGGCCCACCGGAAGTCTTCGGCAGGGTGCAGTCCGTGCAGTACGTGGCGGTGAAGATTCCGAGACTGCTTCTGTTGTGTCCTCTGAGGATTCCATCTCCTCAAGAAGTACCTCCGATCTCTCCAGCGTCTATTCCAAAGGTAGCCGAGGTGGGGAATCTGACCATGAAAGTGTGCTCTACAGGACCACAGATGCCTACGAACGGGCCCAAGAGTCAGAGGTTAGCTTCCCAGCTAGTGTGGAGGTTGAGGTATTGGAGAAGCAGGAAAGTGGATGGTGGTATGTCCGTTGGGGAGATGATGAGGGATGGGCACCTACTTTCTATTTGGAGCCAGTCAAGCATACCCATGACGTCGGTGTACAAGAATCCCGTGATGGCCCTCTTGTTGATCTTGGTAGCACTAACAAGTCCAACAGCCTAGAGAAAAATGAGCAGCGTGTTCAGGCCCTCAACAACCTAAACCAGCAGAACCTGAGGAGTATGAACAATCCTAGCCCACCAATCCCATCCAAACCACCAGGGGGTTTTAGCAAACCAAACCCAATGCTAAACGGTTCAGGCGTACGGATGCGTAACGGTGTCCGTCAGGCAGCAGTGCGACCGCAGTCAGTGTTTGTGTCTCCACCACAGCCTCTGAAGGACACCAACATCCATACAGGGTCTTTGAGAAGAAATGAATCACTAGGTGCAGGCGACCACTTCAGAGCCACAGGCGGCGTAAGGCGAAACTCCTCCTTCACTGCCGTGCGACTGCAGCCGGTGACCGATGTACGGGTCAGGTCTGGGACCACCATTACAGCACCCGCCGGAAGTTCAAGCCCCTTGATTGCCCAGAGAAACGGAATTCCAATCTCTACAGTGAGACCCAAGCCCATTGAGAAGACACACCTCATTCACAACAACCTTCGAGAGGTTTACGTATCTATTGCTGATTACCGTGGCGACGAAGAGACCATGGGTTTCTCAGAGGGCACTAGTCTAGAAGTTCTGGAGAAGAATCCAAATGGATGGTGGTACTGCCAGGTTCTAGATGGCTTACAGGGACGTAAAGGCTGGGTACCGTCTAACTACCTGGAGAGAAAAAAGTAATTCCCCAAAAATGGTTTAAACATGCACAATTGTAATCAAAATGTAAAAAGACGAACTGACTGAAGGACTTTTGGTTTGAAACGAGAAAGACAGAGCCTTTTAGAAAGGAGTTTACATTAAAACTAGAGTAATGCAGGTGAATGTTTAGCAAAATCCCTGCCATAACTTTATGCCAAATGGGTGCCTTCGTACATCTTTCACTGAATGTTAAGAGGAATCGGTCAAATGCCAGTGAAGCAATGAAAATACCAAATTTCAACTTAGTGCCATAGGCCTACAAGTACAGAAGCAACAAACTTATTTTTGTTACAACATTGATAAGTGAAAAAGATAATTTCATCATAGGTGCATAACAAAAAGTGCAAATCCAATCTTTAAGCACATGAAACAAGAAATTCCTGTAAAAACATTTTGAACAAAAAATCAACATCAATTGTTATCTTAGCATTGAGTGCGCTCAAACAAACAAAGCATAACTTTGATTGTAATTTTTTAAAAACGTATACTTTTTTTTGAGAAATTGTTTTGTGTTAATGTTTGTGATATCTTCCTTAGAGATCTATTTCTGCTTTCTTGTAACATCCTAACATCCCCATTCTTTAAATATGCACAGGCCAAAATGAATAAAACAGGTTAAAGGAAAATAGTCTGTGAAAGCTATATGCATAGATCACCTCATGCCCACTTAATTATTGGGTTTAAACCCAAGTTCAGTTTACAAAGTGCATCTGTTTTTATTAGGAGGGTAGACAGCTTCAGAGGACAGGACTTTAGATATTGCTGCTCTGTGTGTGCTAAATCTGTTAATTCAAGAAATCAGGACTGGAAAATCGTTTGTTTTGTTCAGCATTTTATCCCAGGGAAGTAGTGACATAACATTGAGCCCAAAATGTGATCACACCAAAGAAGATTTACAGACACAATTGCTAGTTTGTTTTAGAGTTAGTATTTATTTTATGGGTACAAATAAATACAGTGTATTCAGCAAAACCTAAACGAGGTTTCAGAACTGAGAACAAAGTATATTTAATTGTTATATCTGGAAGCACTTGATTTTTTTTTAACCCAAAGAAAAGCACATTAATATGCAAGGTTAATTTCTACATTACGATATTGCTGGGCAGTATTGAATCTGAAGTTACACAATAAGCAGTGTAAACTACTATCATTTAAGAATAGTGTTTCATTTTCTGTTGACAAAGATATTAAAATAGATTCACGAACTTTATCTTAGTCCATGGTCCAATCTTTCATTCTCTTCTTTATAGATCACAGAGCTCAGAATGATTACTTTCCCCTTATTCAATCAAATAATATTCATTAACAACAGCATAAAACAGCTGATGTTCAAGAGTGCTGAAATATTTTTCTAATGAATAGTGTGAGCTCTTAGCTGAGTTTAGCACTACTTTTATTTGATTTAGTTTTCTGCTGGACAGTATTTTATTGTTAAACAGTTAAAACATTAATTACCTGCTAGATTGCAGTTATATTCTATTAAGCAGACAGTTGTTTATTTTGTCTTGTTTGTTGGTTGTTGTGTGATCACACATGGACAATAATGATGAATGAAGTCGTTCATTTGTTGTGAATCAATGCATTTGAGCTTTTTTTATGCACTGGTATAAAGATGCAGTGTACTTCATCAGCACATAATTTATTTTTTGTTGTATTTATCATTTTTAATGTTTTTAAAAAATGTTTTTAATACTGTCTTGCTAAGATGCCATTTTATTGGCATTTGACACTCGCTTTTTAAAACTTGAACCTCTTGGTAGTTCTGTAGTAATTGGCTACTGCTATATTCTGAGCTTTTACCAAGATGATTTTTTGTCTCGTTTTGACAGTGTCTCCTACTGTCTTAAAATTGGAAGTAGATTTTTTAAACAATTCTTGTGAGCATTTTTCACCTTGTGTGAACATGCTTTCACATAAATGTTTTAAAATCCGAAATGCATTTTCAACCAAGCTGATTGCTGCACCTTTAGCAACTGTGGACACTTCCTTTCTCGTTATTGATCCACATATAATGCCAGATTATGTAAACAAAAAAATCATTTTATTTCATTTTAACATCATCATATCACTCCCAGAAAAAAAAGAAAATAGACATTAGAAAAAAATCTGAATAAGAATCAATCAGTCCTTCAAATTAAAAGCCAGCAGTAAAATGGGAACGATCAAATTACATAACACTTTATAATTAAAAACAGCAGGGCTCTATGTGGATCCCTAATTGTGACTGGACCAAATTTGATTTGAGTGTTTCATATAAATGGTATCATTAAAAAAACAGCAATAATGGGATTTTAAAGTTCCAATTTGGGTGATTTTGTTTTTAACTTTTACATTTGAAAATGAAAATTAAGCCATTGCACTCTCAATTGCAACTCTTTTTTTGACGATGGCATTACAGAAATGTGTCGACTCACTACAACGCAGCACTTGTGATGGATGTTGCTAAGCTCCAATGATACTTTGCTCTTTCTTCATTCGCGCCTATACAATTTACAAGGGAACTGTTAAGTGTCAGACTAGTTCTTATCTTATATTACTTGTGTATCTGCTAGCTTTGTTTTATGTGTTCTTTATTTATTTAAATGTTAATGCTTTTTTCAGGAACAGTATTGCGTTTTACAGTTGTTGTTTTTTTCTTATTCTTTCTCCTTTTCACTATTGACATTACTCAGATGGAATGAGGAAGTGTGCAATACAAAAACAGGCATCTCACCAGTTAAGAACAATTGTATTGAAGAAAGCTTTGTTTTTACTTAGAATTCTGACAATTTTATGTCAAATAATGCCTGGATTTGTCCCATAGTTTTTTGTTTTTTTTAAATCCTCCAATTCAAAATACAGTGGGGCAAAAAAGTATTTAGTCAGCCACCAATTGTGCAAGTTCTCCCACTTAAAAAGATGAGAGAGGCCTGTAATTTTCATCATAGGTATACCTCAACTATGAGAGACAAAATGAGAAAAAAAAATCCAGAAAATCACATTGTAGGATTTTTAAAGAATTAATTGGTAAATTCCTCGGTAAAATAAGTATTTGGTCACCTACAAACAAGCAAGATTTCTGGCTCTCACAGACCTGTAACAACTTCTTTAAGAGGCTCCCTGATAGATGGACACCTTCAGTCTACCGGCCAACCATGACTCGATTTCTGCATTCATACTTTTTACCTACTGAACCGCATCTTGCTTTAAGGGGTTTAGTGACCTCACAAGCCCATGGTGAATCAGTATGGAAATAATAGGGAAGCGTGGGTATATCTAATTCTCCGAGGCATTTGTCAGTTCAGCCTGTCAAATCGCAAATTTGAGATTGTGGGGCAAATCCATCAGCAGCTACATGAGTGCCGCACCACACTGCCAACTTCTCCACATCCGCTCCCTACATCCCACTGTCACCATGGCAAGCTTTATCCTAAATCCCAATCGACTTGCATACTGTATCATTGTCGGATTTCTTTTTCAATTTTGTTTAGTCTATTCTGAAAATCCAGGTTTAACTTTTCACACCTTAAGATAACATGGACTGCATATATTTGCTTCTCTTCCTGTCTGAATTCATTATCTGAGCTTACAACGCCTTTGAATCGAGATGCTTTTACTGAGAGTTTGAATATAAGAGTGGAGAATTTCACTTTGGTTGAAAATGAGGAGGGTTATGGGTGACTGTCTTTGAGTTTAAGAGAAGCTTTTTTAAGAGAGTTGAAATGTCTTCACCTTTCCTTATTACACAGGCCCTCTCAGGTGTAGGTTTGCTATAGTTTCTTGCTTAATGCTGTGTTTTCTTTTCTGTTTACCTTATATGATCACATTAAGATATATTACAATTTCTGATTTTTTGAGAATGTATTGGATATATTTACAGGAATGTTCCAGGTTCTGTGACGTGGTGTTGAAAATAATTTCAACCAACCCAATCTCTTGAGAAAATGTAACTATTTTTATGAGGTATAGTGATTTTGTATGAATGTCATTAGGGCATAAACATGTTTTTTATAAAATTTTAAAAAAAACTTCAATTCAAAGATCCATGAATTTGTATGATGCAATTCATACAGAAACATACAATTTTACAGTAAGAAAAAAAGTTAGCACGAAGGTCCACCTTCATGAATGCAAAGGTCAATGAATTTGTACTGTGTGATTCGTACGGAAACATATATGATTTGTAGAAAAAAAAGTTAGCATGAATGTCCTCTTCATGAATTCGAAAGTACATAAATTCAGAAGTTAGCATGAAGGTCCACCTTCATGAATTCAAAGGTTCATGAATTTGTACAATGTTTGTGTGGTTGATTCATATGGAAACATATGATTTTTAGGAAAAATTTACCATGAATTCGAACAATGGGATTTTTATAGAAACTTAGAATTTTCAGGATAAAGTAAGCATGAAGCTCCATCATTAGGAATTCAAATATCCAAGAATTTGTATCATGTGATTCATACGGAAACATACAATTTTTAGAAAAATCTTAGCATGAAGGTCCACCTTCAATGCATTATTCATACAACGAAAAGCATGAAGGTCCACCCTTAAACGTAACCGTCAATGGGGTGTAACCAGATTGTACAAAAAATGTAAAAATGAAATTAATATAGTTAGTTGTCAGATTGGTTTTCAAAGTATACAACACTTAGTATTGAACCTGGAACACCCCTTAAGCTCCTGAATCGGAATAGAAGAATGTTACTTTACAAAAAAAAGATTGTGAGTGTATTTTTTCCTGTTTGTTTGGTGTATTCTGCGATGGTTTGTGAACAGGAGTTTTTAAATGGTGGAAAGAGAAGGTTTATAGAGGGAATGTTTGTTTATGATGTTTGAATAGAAGGGAATCCAGTCAGGTGTAAAGCTCGACATGATAAAACCGCTCTAACGGACTTGATGAAGTGTTCCCTGTGGAAAGAAAAGCAAGGCTTTTTACGATAATGAGCACTTCAGAGAAGCTTCCCGCTAGCAGCAGCTCATTATGATGTCACAGTGGCACTGCATTGTCATAATAGCACTGGTGAGGCGCAGTGTTCTAGAAACACCCTTGTTATTTCTGTTGGAAAACTTGCTGCGACTGAATTCAAGCGAGTAGCCTTGTCTCCAAAGGCCATTGTTTCTCAAAACATAAAGCCTTAGTGCTTGAATACACATGCTGAGGTTCAGAAACTTGCAAACGGATATCCACCTCAGATCGCCGCTGCTGCAAACTGCTTTATAACAATTAAAAAGTTGCTGACAGAATGTGTAAAAGAATAGGACTGCTCGTCTCCAGCTTACCCACCACAGTGTCAGAAGTACACTCGCGCTGTGAAATCACATTACCCAAGTGCTCGGTTAATTACAGATGCTTGGGAAGAGCACCGTGAATACAAATGTCTCACTGATTGTGGATGTCGAGCTGCTGGGGGCTCGGATCAGATGCCGAGACAGATTGATAGTGTTTCTAATGGCTCACAGCATGTCGAGATGTATTAACGTCATCAAGAGGAATCATCTGAGCTTCCTGCGTCAGCGAATTGTTTGATTTACTGAGGTGTCTATATGCCGTGTTGGTATACAACAAAAGTTGAAAGAATGTACATGTTTGATTGTGTCATATGTCATTTACAGGGCTTGGGATACCTGGGATATATCAGGGAATTAAAAAATTGTGAGTTTCAAGCCTGGAAAAGTCATGGATGAATATAAAATTTTGTAGTTGTGCTTATAGGTATAGGTAGATGCCCTATTTGTAGCTGTTTCTATGGGCCGCTATATGAAAGCCATTCGCCATACTGGAATGGTCAAAGGCGGTCCGTGAACACTCAAGAGCAAGTTGCCTGAGTGTCTACAACCGTAGTTATACGCATACATGAATATCTATATCTGCAAATGACTCCAGCAGAAGATTTTTTCAAACTAACACAATATAAGACTAGCCACTTTAAGACTAGTTGCTATTGTTTAGAAACCTGTAATATTGAGTACATACATATTAAAAACACAAACCAACACATTTGTATCTGTGAAAGCTTATCCAATTTCTTCAGGAACTTAAATTTTGGTGGCTTTTACAACCGGAGGCTGCAAAATGTTGCGGAATCTTGGAAAACTCACTGATTTTTATTGTGAGTGACAACACATTGACCATTCCAAGATGGCGGATGCGTCGACGTGTCTGGAGTGGTCGAATGTGGCATCTACCTATGCACATCTATGGTTGTGCTCAGCTACAAAAAAAAAAATAATAATAATATTTAAGTGCAGGAAGTACCCTGTGATTAATTATATTTCTACAGAAACATTTGATGAGTAATAATCTGACTAATATTTTATGCGACCGTACCTGGATAATAAGGAAGTAGTCCTATTTTAGGCATGGATCATGGTGGAGAGAGTTGTATGTGTGCTAGCTGTGATGTATGAAGTGCTTGAAAGGAGTTTGGTAGGTTTTATTGATCTTTTTCTGTGTTCATTTGCATTTTTGATCAGATGCATCAGTGTTTGGTGTGAGGCGGTAGGGTGTGTTTATGTGTTCACTTTGATGCGAACAAGTGCAGAAAGGGAACATGCTGCGGCGGTCTGATCTCTTGCTGTTTTCTGTCCCTGTCTCTGCTTGGCTGTCTGCACTAATTGCCATTCTTCTCCACTTAATTAACAGTCACGAAAAAACAGCATGTGGGGCCAGTAACATCTTGCTTAAAAGAATGTTTTGATGAGCGTCACTCTGAAAGTTACATTTATTTATGTTTGCTTTCATCATGCACCCACTTAACAGACTGGTTGTAAAGGTTTTATATATTTATATTTTCTAAATATAATCTGCTATACATTAAAATAACATGGACTGCATATATTTGCTTCTCTTCCTGTCTGAATTCATTATCTGAGCTTACAACGCCTTTGAATCGAGATGCTTTTACTGAGAGTTTGAATATAAGAGTGGAGAATTTCACTTTGGTTGAAAATGAGGAGGGTTATGGGTGACTGTCTTTGAGTTTAAGAGAAGCTTTTTTATGAGAGTTGAAATGTCTTCACCTTTCCTTATTACACAGGCCCTCTCAGGTGTAGGTTTGCTATAGTTTCTTGCTTAATGCTGTGTTTTCTTTTCTGTTTACCTTATATGATCACATTAAGATATATTACAATTTCTGATTTTTTGAGAATGTATTGGATATATTTACAGGAATGTTCCAGGTTCTGTGACGTGGTGTTGAAAATAATTTCAACCAACCCAATCTCTTGAGAAAATGTAACTATTTTTATGAGGTATAGTGATTTTGTATGAATGTCATTAGGGCATAAACATGTTTTTTATAAAATTTTAAAAAAAACTTCAATTCAAAGATCCATGAATTTGTATGATGCAATTCATACAGAAACATACAATTTTACAGTAAGAAAAAAAGTTAGCACGAAGGTCCACCTTCATGAATGCAAAGGTCAATGAATTTGTACTGTGTGATTCGTACGGAAACATATATGATTTGTAGAAAAAAAAGTTAGCATGAAGTTCCTCTTCATGAATTCGAAAGTACATAAATTCAGAAGTTAGCATGAAGGTCCACCTTCATGAATTCAAAGGTTCATGAATTTGTACAATGTTTGTGTGGTTGATTCATATGGAAACATATGATTTTTAGGAAAAATTTACCATGAATTCGAACAATGGGATTTTTATAGAAACTTAGAATTTTCAGGATAAAGTAAGCATGAAGCTCCATCATTAGGAATTCAAATATCCAAGAATTTGTATCATGTGATTCATACGGAAACATACAATTTTTAGAAAAATCTTAGCATGAAGGTCCACCTTCAATGCATTATTCATACAACGAAAAGCATGAAGGTCCACCCTTAAACGTAACCGTCAATGGGGTGTAACCAGATTGTACA